GGTCGTCAGCACTCTCCACCACAGGTGGCGGCTCAGGAGGTGTCGAGCTCGGACCTCCGCCGGCGTTCCCGCCGGCCTGCAAGGAACTCACGCCCGTTGGACACTGCAGAAGCGGGCAGCTGGGGCAGTGTAGAGTCGGGCACGGCGGGCACCCAGGGCACGCAGGACAAGGCTGTGTCCGCCACCAATATGCTGTGAAGAGCTGAGTGACAGCGCCCACAAGCCAGAATCCGTTGCGGAGTCCAGGCATCTGAACGCCACAAAAGCTTGAGCATTGATGCAACAACGGTCGCAACGGCGCCCTCTCATCCTGACTCGCAGAGAACACCAGGCACGCCAGAGCAATACATACATATAGAACCATCGCGCGCGCTTCGCGCGCGCGCTCAAGTTCTAGCCCAGGCCGGGGGGGCGCTGGAAGATCTTGGACAGCGCTATCAAGCACAGGCGCGTGACATGGTCGTGCCTCCTGAGGGCCTCTTGGGTCTTCGGGGGGCATCTGAAGGGCTTCTGGGGGGTTCTCCGTGCTTCCTCAACTTGCTGTTGGAGGCACCTCTTGGGTGCTTCTTGGGGGGGCAACTTGGGGCTTCTTGGGGCCCCTTGTGAGCATCGTCGGGGTTCTCTGGGCAGTCGGAGGGTGATGTTCTGCAATCTGAAGCCGTCATTGGCCGTATTGGCTGCGTGGAGGCCCGACTTGAGGGCGCCTGGTGCGCCGTCTTGGCCCTCTTGGAGCGGTTTTGGGAGCATCTTGGGAGGTGCTTTAGCGCCGGAAACACGAAACAGCGAGAATACAAACAACATTTTAACAAAAACAAATGGGAATCAACGCTTTTGCCCTCTCGGGGCCCTCAGGCCTCTTGGGGCGTCTTGGGGGCCTCCGGGGCAATTTAAAACGCACCGTGCGTCGCTAGAGACCCCTGGACCGGGCTTCCTTGGGTCGATCTTGGGGGCCTCTTGGGCTGTTTTCGCGCGTCGGGAACCCGAGAAGGCGAGAAGACTAAAATCCTTCGAACATCTACGGAAAACAAGCAGTTGTTGGCTCTCAGGGCTCTCTCGGGGATCCTCGTGGGGCCTTCTTGTGGCGTCTGGGTGGCCTCTTGGAGGCCTCTTGGGGCTTCTTCGGGGCCTCTAGGGGCCTCCCGGGCGCCTCTTGTGGCGGAAAGCTCGAATTGTCGGTTGGATTTTCCAATATTGGGCTTCTCTTTGGCGCCTTTGGGGGCCCGTTTGGGCCGTCTTGGGCGCCTCTTGGGCCGTCCTGGGGCTCTTTTGGGCCGTCTTGGGGCCCTCGGGGGCGCCTCTTGAGCCGTCTTGGGGCGGTCTTGGGTATCTCTGATGTCGTCAAGAACGGTACGACAGCGAAAACAATGAATATGCTAAACATGCACGTTTTACGAAGGGAATGGGGCTCTTTTTGCCTCTTGGGGACGCCCTGGGGGGCCTCTCGGGGGCTTCTTAGAGCGTCTGCGAGGCCTCTGGAGGTGTCTTGGGGGCCACCTTGGGTATCTTGGAGCGGCCTTTGGGTGTCTTGGGTCCGTCTGGGGGCGTCTTCGGGTTCTCTTGGCGCGTTCCCGGGGCGTTTTGAGAGCCTCAGGGACGCCCCAAGAGCCGACGTCCCCCCATTTGCGGTCGAGGCTGCGGCCCCGCGCCCCCAGACCCAGTGCGCAATTATATGTATACATACATACATACATACTTACATACATACATGCATGCATGCATGCATGCATGCATGCATGCATGCATGCATGCATGCATACGTACGTACGTACGTACATACATACATACATACATACATACATGCAAACATGCAAACAAGCATAAACACATATACATACATACGTACATACGTACATACACACATACATACATGATGCATACACACATACCTACCTACCTACCTACCTACCTACCTACCTACCGACCGACCGACCGACCTACCTACCTACCTACCTACCTACCTACTTACCTACCTACCTACCTACCTACCTACCTACCTACCTACCTACACACACATACATATATGCACACATACACATACACACATACATACACCCATGCATGCATACGTCCATACATCCATACATACATCCATACATCTATACATCCATACACACATACATACATACATGCATACATACATACATACATACATGCATGCATGCATACATACATACATGCATGCATACATACATACATACATATATACATACATATGTATATACATACACACGTACAGGTGTGTGTGCGCTTAGTACAATCATTAATATCACGAGTCGCATGAACATGTTTATTACTCGTAATACTCTTGTAAAGTTCCTTGTGTTTCATTCGTATTAGCACTCTTGCTGTCATGGTTACGACATGTATTATTGATATTACTAATTGTTTTAACCAGAAAACATACAACAACAACACACAAACAAGAACGCCGCCCAAATCTCAGGGTCCAGAAATCACCCCTGGGCAAGGGGCCTCCCGGTCTCCAGGGGGGCGGGGGGGCGCGAGACGCCCAAGGCCGGGGAGAGGGCCGCCCGTGCCGCGAGGGATCAAGAATCTTCTGACCCGGGTCAATCCAGACCCGGGGTCAGTCGAGCCTCGCAAGATCCGGCAAGATCCTGCACCCGAACCCGGGTCAATGCGAACGATCCTGCAAGAACTTGCAGGATCCTGCGCCCAAGCCCGGGGCAATGCGACCCTGGCCCTGCAGGATCCTGCAAGATCCGGCGCTCTGGCTGACCCCCGTTTGCGTCGACCCCAGTCTCAAGGCTCCCGCCCAGAGGGAGCGCGGCACCGAAAATCCGGGCGGGAGGGCGCGGGGCGGGCCCTACCGCGGGCGGCTGCGGCCGCCACCCACAGACATCTCATCCCCGGGCCCTCGCCCGCCCTGTGCTTGCTGTCTGTCTGCCTCTGTCGCTGCCTGTCTCTGTCTGTCTGGCTGGCTGACTGGCTGTCTGTCTGTTTGTCTGTCTGTCTGCCTGTCTTTGCCTGTCTTTGCCTGGCTGGCTGGCTGGCTGTCTGGCTGTCTGTCTGCCTGTCTTTGCCTGTCTCCCTCTCTGACCCTTTCTCCCTCTCTCCGTCCGCACGCACATGTTTCCCGCGGCGGGTTCGGCGACACTACCGCGATGAGCGGAGCGGGGACACGCCTAGGCGAATCACCACCTGGCGTAGCAGATGGGTGGACTGGATTGGGGCGGTCACATACGCAAAAACCGCAGAAGCGGATACACGTGGAAGAGGCCAAACGATCATGCAATGCAGTGCAAGAGTAAGTAGATGCAAACAGAGCGCAGACACATGGCCAGGCCCCCACGCACACACACAATGACATGAATCATCATTTGATGCCGACTGTCTGCCTGCCCGCCTGACGCATTGTTGTCGACTTTGTAGCTGTTGCTGTTATTGTTGTGATTGTTGTTGTTGTTGCTGTTGTTGATGCTGTTGTTGTTGTTGTTGCTGCTGCTGCTGCTGTTGCTCTTTATCCCTTTGTCTGTCTGCCTCTCTCTGCCTCTGTCTCTGTCTCTGTCTCTCCTTCCCTCCCTCCCTCCCTTTCTCCCTGCCCCTGCGCTGCATGGCCGATGCGCCCTGGCCCCCGACTCCCTGTCCCGCCCCCGCCTCTGCACCTCCGCGCCTCCATGTCTGCCTCTCTGTCGCCGCCCCCGCCCCGCTTCGGCCCGGACACCGCCTCTAGACGAGCGCGCTCCACTCCTCGCAAAGTAACTACTCACAAATGGCCTGGATCCGCCGATGGGGTATCCTCGATCCATCATGTTGAAGCACCTGCTTTTTTGTTGTTTGACCTTTTGCACTTGGGCACTCTGCGAGTAGCGGAACGCGCTCGGCGAGCCTCCCTGCCTCCGCCCCACTGCCTCTCGGCACTCTCGGCTCCCGGTGCTTTTTCACAGCGCTCCGTGCCTCCCTGTCTGCCTCTCTGCCGCCGCCTCCGCCCCCGCTTCGGCCCGGACACCGCCCCCCTGCCTCCGCTCCACTGCCTCTCGGCCTCCCCGTGTTTTTCAGCCAGCTCTCTCTGCCCCTCCCCTGGCCACGCCCCGGCGCCCCCGCCCCCCTGCTTGCATCCCACCGAGCGCCCGAATGGCAGGGTTCGCACGGCGGCACCGCGCACGTTTTTTGTTGGGGGGGGTCCGAGCACGCAGAAGCAACGACCCAGTGTACACCGACAACGAACAACTTTACAAAGGTGCACCTCTCACATAATACCCCTCGGTGGCACCTGGTCTGATGATCCTGCAACGGACTTGGGACTCGAGCGCACTGGAGGCACCACACACGTGCCGGCACCCCCCTCCCACGTTTCGTGGTTGCATATAAGGAGGCCGCATCGAGCGCCTCACTGGCAGGGTCCGCGTGGCACCACCGCGCCCAGTTCGGCACAACCCTCACACGTTTCGTGCCTCACTCGACTGCACATTTTTTTTGCAACGTGCCTTGGACGACTGGCGCGCGTCACATGAATTCTCCCTGGGCGACCGGCGCACGTCACGGGGACTCCCCATGCGCGTTGCGTCCAAGAGATGCTCGTGTGCAGTGGAGCGGGCGACCGAAGTACATCTTGCGGGCGCCTGAAAAAACAGGCCCACACCTCAGTCCTGCCTGTCGTGCCCATGTTCGCCCCCCGCGCTTCTCTCTTTTTCGAGCGCTGGCCCTTGTTGCTCGCCCCCTCGTTCGCCCCACGTCTTTCGCAGTCCCAGACATCCGGCTGCTCCAATGTTTCGATGCGTGGGCCCCAGGAGGTCCAGTCCACTTCCCAAAGGCAGGTTTCTCCCCCCGAGTGTTTTTCAGACGCCCCCGAAGCCCGGCGAGGGCCCCTGAAGGCAAAACTGCCAAAATCCCGCCGCTCCAATGTTTCGGGGGCGTCGGATCTCTGGGGTACTCTCATCTGCACATGGTTGAGTCCTTCCCCAGAACGCGTTCACGACATGAGGACCCTTCATCGGCGGATGCTGCGCACCCGACGGCGCGGAGGGGCGCAGCACCCTGGCCTAGCGGCGAGCCGGATGTCCAGCTGTGCGTCCACCTGCACGAGATGCGGGATGCTCATCCCTCCATTGCTCCCTCCATGCGTCTCCTCCTCCTCCTCCTCCTCGTCGTCCTCCTCCTCCGTCCTCTTCTCGCCAACAACCTATGCATCACGGGTCAGCGAGCGCAGAGCAAAACTAAGACAGCTCAAACCACCCGTGCAAAAGGGAAAAAGGAGGGTACAGAGGCTATGGATACCTTTGGGCTGCCTGGCCGTAGTTGCGGTCGGCAGCAGGGCCACGCAGCGGCGGGAAGGGTCCTCCACATTCCCGCCCCCGCCTGTGACCTCCGCCCCCCTGTCCTCCAGGGTGGAAATCTGCTCTGAAGTAGTCGGGCAGGTGCTGGGCGTGATTCCGCTGACTTTGCACCCTGACTGGAGGGAAGCAGGCCCCAAACAGCGGCGATATATCCCACAGCGTAATCCGCCGACCCTGTCGGCGTGTGTGAGGGGCTTTTCCGTTCGAGCCGTCATCTCCGTCATTCTTTGTACTCGTCGTCTCTGTCCTTCCCTTTCCCTGGGAGACCTCTTCCCCTGGGCTCCAGCCAAGCCGACCTTGAGCAACCTCGTAATTGAGTCGAAGGGAAGCCCCTTCCCTTTGATCCCTCCCCCGCCAGGAGGGGGGGGGGGGTAGCGACCCCCCCCCGGGTCAGATACGACGCCCCCCCCTGGGACTCCTCTTCCCCTGGGCTCCAGCCAAGCCGACCTTGAGCAACCTCGTAATTGAGTCGAAGGGAAGCCCCTTCCCTTTGATCCCTCCCCCGCCGGGAGGGGGGGGGGGGGGTAGCCCCCCCCCGGGTCAGATACGACGCCCCCCTGGGACTCCTCTTCCCCTGGGCTCCAGCAAGCCGACCTTGAGCAACCTCGTAATTGAGTCCTTCCTTTGATCCCTCCCCCGCCGGGAGGGGGGGGGGGGTAGCGACCCCCCCCCGGGTCAGATACGACGCCCCCCCTGGGACTCCTCTTCCCCTGGGCTCCAGCCAAGCCGACCTTGAGCAACCTCGTAATTGAGTCGAAGGGAAGCCCCTTCCCTTTGATCCCTCCCCCGCCGGGAGGGGGGGGGGTAGCGACCCCCCCCCCGGGTCAGATACGACGCCCCCCCCTGGGACTCCTCTTCCCCTGGGCTCCAGCCAAGCCGACCTTGAGCAACCTCGTAATTGAGTCGAAGGGAAGCCCCTTCCCTTTGATCCCTCCCCCGCCGGGAGGGGGGGGGGGGTAGCGACCCCCCCCCGGGTCAGATACGACGCCCCCCCCTGGGACTCCTCTTCCCCTGGGCTCCAGCCAAGCCGACCTTGAGCAACCTCGTAATTGAGTCGAAGGGAAGCCCCTTCCCTTTGATCCCTCCCCCGCCGGGAGGGGGGGGGGGGTAGCGACCCCCCCCCCGGGTCAGATACGACGCCCCCCCCTGGGACTCCTCTTCCCCTGGGCTCCAGCCAAGCCGACCTTGAGCAACCTCGTAATTGAGTCGAAGGGAAGCCCCTTCCCTTTGATCCCTCCCCCGCCGGGAGGGGGGGGGGTAGCGACCCCCCCGGGTCAGATACGACGCCCCCCCCTGGGGCTCCTCTTCCCCTGGGCTCCAGCCAGGCCGACCTTGAGCAACCTCGTAATTGAGTCGAAGGGAAGCCCCTTCCCTTTCATCCCTCCCCCGCCGGGAGGGAGGGGGGGGTAGCGACCCCCCCCCCGGGTCAGATAGCGACCCTCCCCCCCTCTCTGGACTTCCTACGCCCCCCCCTCCCTGGGACTCCTCTTCCCCTGGGCTCCAGCCAAGCCGACCTTGAGCAACCTCGTAATTGAGTCGAAGGGAAGCCCCTTCCCTTTGATCCCTCCCCCGCCGGGAGGGGGGGGGGGGGTAGCGACCCCCCCCCCGGGTCTGATACGACGCCCCCCTTGGGACTCCTCTTCCCCTGGGCTCCAGCCAAGCCGACCTTGAGCAACTCGTAATGAGTCGAGGGAAGCCCCTTCCCTTTCATTCCTCCCCCGCCCGGGGGGGTAGCGACCCCCCCCCGAGTCAGATACGACGCCCCCCCCCCGTACCGACCTTGAGCAACGTCGTTATTGAGTCGAAGGGAAGCCCCTTCCCTTTCCCTTCCCCGACGGGGGGGGAGAGGAGGTCCCGGGGGGGGGCCGGGGGAGTCCCGGGGAAGTCCCGGGCCAGATACGACACCTCCCTCCCCCACCTTCTCGTCCTTCTCCCCGTTCCCCCAAACCATCCCGCAGCCCGTGCCTCTTGCTGCGCATTGCAAACAGGGTCGGCGGCACCGGCCGTCAGGCCTTCGCAATATAAGGCTGGAGATAGATTGCCAATCGCGGGCCCAAGACTTCACTGTTTAGGAAACCCCAAGCGCGACAGTCTCGCTCTCTGGACTGCTCAGCAGCACTGTTGGCCCAGAAGAAGCCAGCACCATTACGACAATATGACGTCGCTAAGTGTTTCCCAAGTGTGTGTGTGTGTGTGTGTGTGTGTGTGTGTGTGTGTGTGTGTGTGTGTGTGTGTGTGTGTGTGTGTGTGTGTGTGTGTGTGTGTGTGTGTGTGTGTGTGTGTGTGTGTGTGTGTGTGTGTGTGTGTGTGTGCTGTGCGTGCGTGCGTGCGTGCGTGCGTGCGTGCGTGCGTGCGTGCGTGCGTGCGTGCGTGCGTGCGTGCGTGCGTGCGTGCGTGCGTGCGTGCGTGCGCGCGTGCGTGCGTGCGTGCGTGCGTGCGTGCGTGCGTGCGTGTGTGTGTGTGTGTGTGTGTGCGTGTGTGCGTCTGTGTGCAATAACTGCGGGAAGAAGGGGGTGGGGGGGGGAATCTCCACTCCCACTCCAATAAAACACGCGCAACCCCCACGCGCGCACACACGCACACACAAACTCGAAACCATCCGCTCCTCCTCCCCCAGAGACGGAATAGTAGGGAGGAGGAAGAGAAAAAGGAGGAGGAGGAGGAGGATAACAAGGAGGGGAAGGGAAGGGAAGGCAAGACCTCATTTAGGCAGCAGACGCGTAAGACCTCCTGCTTCCCTGAACTGCTGTGTGTTGCAGGATCATGCTGGCACAAATTCCACTCACGCTGCTCACAAATGCTGCCCCACAACCTCTCTACCGTAGCCTACACCAACGCTGAGCTGGGTGGCGAAGCCTTTTATATTAACATGAAGTTCCTCCTGGATCTCCAATAGCACGGTGACGTCAGAAATGGTCGCGAACGAGATGACACCTCGTCCTGGATTATGTCGCCAATGGGGCCTACACGACCCAGATAAGATCCAGCGTCAACAGGCATGTCGTAGTTCATGGTCCGGGTCGGCCTCATGTTTTGTTTTGATGGTGGGGCCCAATCTTCTGCCGAAACCACGAGAATGCACGTGTTGGGCCCAATTTTCTGCACCACCTCTTGGACTGAACCGACCGACTCGGAATCGGAGTCGGAATTCTCACCAGAATAGATGGCGTGAGCATTAAAATTAAGCATCCGAAGGATATCTGACGCTGCTATGGCTCGCCTCTCGACTTAACAATCACGACTGCCAGATGATCGGATGTAGAACGAAAAACTTCTATCAACTTCGCGGTTTTCTCGCGCTCTGAAGGCATGACGTGGTAAGGCGACACATTGTCCTTGTAAGGGTTATGCTCCTCCTCAGTGGGCCCATCGCTCCCTGTCGGGCGCGGGGAGCGTTCGAAACCCACATTGGTAAGGTGGACTTATTTAGATCTTGGCCCAGCGGCCGATTGACCACAACGTGAAAGAACATCGGCTCGCGTCTCTACCATGATCGATTGCAGCTCGTGCAAGCGGTCCACGATCCCATCGTACATGAACGGTCCATATCAACCGTCTGGGTACACTCCACCTCTTCCTCCTCCTCCTCCTCCTCTTCCTCCTCCTCCTCCTTATTCTTCTTATGATCCTCCTCCTCCACCTCCTCCTACGAGAACCGGAAGGCTGGACATGGCGCTGGCATTCGGAACAATGCGGCGTGGGAGACACCGCAGCAAAAGTTGTCGGCCATTACAGACATCAACGACACGACGATGCTGGTCCGAGGCTTCAGAGCCAGCATGGCATGCAAAGAAGAGTCGGCCAAGATCATGGTGTCCTTGACGGACGCGTTGATGATGAAAGCGCTGCAGGACTGTCTGGTCCAGCTGGGAGCCGACCACAAGGTTGGCATTGCGCCAAGAAGCAACGCGGAGAGGATCCTGCAGCTGGCGATCGACGCGTTCGAAGGCTCGTCGGGCATCTCCTCCGAGCCTCCCCGCAGATTGAAGTTTCGTGTCCGTGCTCAAGGCAGTGGTCGAGCGACAACTCGGGGCTCCCGCCGTGGGGCCATCTTCCATCGCAGATATGTCTTGCGCACGGGAGGTCGCACAATCCCGAATCTTCCTGTATTGTGGTTTAAGCTCGAGTTAGATCGACTTCGGCCCGACACCGTTTCGCCGCTGCCGCCGCCACCCCTCCCTCCCACCCCTATTCATCCTTCTTTCTCCATGCCTGCCTCCCTTCCTCCTCTCTGTCTCTCTCTCTCTCTCTTCCTTCTCCTCCTCCTCGAGAACGGGGGATTGTGGAGCCCCTCGGGGTTCCAGAGCGCGCACGCGAGGCTTTCACACTGAGTTCGCGCGTGCGTCTTTCAATGGTGTGCGTACTCAGTGGCTTCCTCCTCTCCTTCCGCCTCCCCCTCCTCCTCCTCCTCCTCCTCCTCCTCCTCCTCCTCCTTTTGTTCTCCCCCCCTCCCCCCCAAAGAATCATGTTGAAGATGTTTGACATGTTTGTTTGGGGGGGGGGGTCGGCGGCGAAAAAAAGGAATGCGACGTGGCCTAAGCTGCCCTCCCCCCCAAAAGGATTCCTATTGAACGCCCCCACAAGAAGGATTCATAGTGAAATCCTCTACATAAGGATTCCTATCGAAACCCTCCACTGAATGATTCCTACGGGAATCCTCCACATGATGGGTTCCTATTGAAATCACCCGCAGAAGGATTGATATTGAGATGCTTCGAAAGAAAGACCCCCCCCCGTTGGC